CTCTTTTTCACTTCTGGTGATGCTGTACCTTTGCCCTTCAGCATGGTTGTTAAACTATCTGACTCAGCAGGTTTCCAACATGAGTTAGTGCCTGCTTGAAATAAATGTTGATTGTCCAGAGAAGTCCCATTGTGTTAATGTAATTCACTATTTCTCTGTTCCCTGGGGCAAACTGGCTACTGTTCCCAAATTAAATTGAAAGAACTATTTCAATTATTGTACTGAAGCCAAAATGTGTGACTGCCCTAGTAGCCAAGAAGTTTCAAGGCAGTATGGAGAGCTTTGACTTGTATTTCAAGGGTCCTTTTTGTCGGTCCAAGGCCAAATGGGGCTTTGCAAAAATCTTTGGTGCTCTGTCCTGACAAATATTGTGCGAGTTGCTAGGTTGTGTCTGCTCTATGGGGATCTACAAGGAGGAGGATCAACCAAATGTTATTTTTAAGTCGTCTTGAACTTGCAAATTATCAGACCTGTGTTACTGAGCCAGTTTGGTCAATTGTGCAGAGGATGTTCCACCCCCACACCCCCCCATTAACTTGTAATAGCATTTTGTGGCCTATAAACCTGGTGAGTATCATCTAGCATGCACTGCGCTCTAACTTTAGAGTTTGGCAATCCTGTCTTTCCTGAAATATCGCAGGGATTTCAGAATGAGGACTAGAGTTTCTCTGATATTATAATTCTGGAAACCTTTTGATAATTCAGATCTTATATAACAGATCTAGTTATTTTGAAGAATTGCTTTTTAATCAAACCAGGAATATGTGTAATACTCCAGTCAAAACCACTGATTTCTATGATACTCTGTGGTGTTCTGCAGCTTTTGGGTTTTTTTTCAACAGTTCAATCTGTTATGAATACTTGTAGTTCAGTCCCTCCGCTGTGTTCAAGGGAATGGAGATAAGCAAGAGTACAGAGAGCAGGACTGAGCTTTAACTTTCTTCTAACAATAATTTTGAGAGCGTATGCTCCTGTTCAGTGGTTTATTGGACACTTACAGTATATTTTGAACTGTACCAGCAACATGAGGATGGATGGATATTTTGGAATTTATCATTTTAAATGATTCAAAGCAGATGTTTCTGCTCAAGGCACTGGTTCCTGACAACTGATACATTTGATATGGCAAATGAATTGGAATCTTCATAATGCCAGTATTTGTAACTACAGAAAATAATATCTTAGAGATGTGAGTTTGAAGTTTTACTAATTTTTTTAAAGAGAAATTTTAAGTTTTTTGGCTTTTTTAATTTACCTTTTTAAGCCAAGGACTTAATATTTCCCCAAAAAAAGATGAGGGGTTTGTTCAGCATTTGTGCAGTTCTCGTCCCCTGTGAGCTGAAGACAGAAATTGTATGCATTTCAGAAATGTTTAGCATGCAAGTAACATGTTTGATGCCTGTTTGTTTCTTTGTTGTTCTCAAGGTATTTCTTGAAAGGGACAGAAAATTTTTCATTACTATTTTGAAAAGTCTGTACTGCACAGTTCATGTGTTCATATGCAGTCAGCATCTCATGCAGCTTCCTGTACATTGTGTTGGGGACAAAATCAAGGACATATTTTAAATGTCGGGGGTGTCAGAACACTTCACACTAAGAGCACTGTTACATGAATGATAAACCACTGTGGCTTCAGTGAAAGCGATTTGTTACTGGAAAGCGGCTTGTTCAAACTGCATGAGTGAACAAAAGGAGAGGAGGAAGAGAAAGGAAAACTTACCATCTGCTTATACAGGAGAGAGTGAAGCTGCATGTCATTTTGGTAAAATATCATAGCAGCGTTTCCTCTTGTTTTAAAAAAAAAAGAAAATAATCTATTGTGTTGAGTACTCCAGTGTTTGGCAGAGTGATTCCATTTTGTCCATCTGTGTTTGGAGAATATTGCCAGTTCTCTTGCATCATTTCTTGTGTTTACTGAAATGAATGATACCAGCATATTTAATGTACTGTTGTGCTTTGCAGAGGACTACAGACTGAGATAAGCAGTGAGCAAGCTGCATTTGAAAAAGACGGGAAGCTTAGGATTTTGAATCAAAATAAAACCAATGGTGAGTAGTTCCCACTCATTTGTAATACTTCAAAGCAAGGTTGAAGAGAACTTTTCTGTTCCTTTGAAAAAACTGACAATACAGTTAACTCTGGAGTTGCTATCAGATTATTTTCTTTATACTTTCTCTAGCTCTGGTGTATCCTCTTGGAGGTGGGGTGACAAGAATTGACCGGAGTTGGTTTTTTTTTTTTTGGTTTTGGGGTTTTTTAAATTTTTTTTTTTATTATAGCAATAGTCAAAGGTGCGTTACGCTGTTGTAGGGCAGTATGCGTGGAGCAGCGCAGAGGAGAGGGAGGGCTGAACACAGAGGCTATCCTGCCACGTGGTGTGACATGGGCACCGCATTGCAGTGCGGAAGGAGAGGCCATCAGTTGTTCTTTGTTTACAAAATTAGCATGAGTTTTCTGCGTGAAAATGCAAATATTTTTAAACACAAATAGAAAAAAGTGACATGCTGATTTGAAAAGAAATTATGACATCTTGTGCATCTAATGGATCATAAATTTTTCTGGATTTAGTGATGTGACTGATTTATTTTACCCTTTTGTGACACTGATTTTCAGATTTATATATTAGGCCTTCCATAGTCTTTTATATTCAGCATACCTCTGTTTACAAATCATAACAATGTACTCACAAGTCCTGTTTATATGTGATATAAGTTTTAACTGCCATTTTATAACATACTTGAAATGAGGACTTTTTTTTTTTTTTCAAAATACCACCCCACATGATTATTCCTAATTTTTCCCAATATTGTATTAAAAACAATTTGACCTAAATACTTCCGTGTTTTGGAAAGGAACGTGTTCAGTCTGGGGGTAGAAAATTGAATTATCAGACCTGCTAAACAGCTGGAAAAATAGAGTTGGAAAATTGCTTTTGTCCGTATGTTTTCCAGTTGTTCCCTTGTACAAATACACATAAGGTGTAGTTGACAAATAACATTTGTAATGTTGAACCTAAAGAACAGAAGCCACAAAAGCGTGGAGCTAAATAAAAATTACATCTAATTTAATATTGAATAGTCCTTGAGCTCTTGAGTCACTGATGCCTATATAATAAACTGAAATTCATTAGCACTTTTTAAGTGATTCTAGAATAGATTTTTCTATTAAGTTGATGCATGGCACCAGTAGCCTGTTAATTAAGAAAGAATACCTGAGTGTGACTAATACTGCCAAATAATAGTATTCTAAGATAAGTATATCTTTAAATAGCCTTTAAAAGTAAGTGTTAAGGAAAATTTTAATATCAGTGAGGAGCCAGTTGTAGTTAGATACATTGGATGTGGGGCTTTGTCATGTAAGGGGGAAGGTTGAATCTTTTTGGCATTTGTATTAATCTTGGAATGTCTCTTTAACTTAAAGATCACAGTGATGCAAAACTCCTTCCAACAACAGAAGAAGGGAAAGAACCTCAGACAGCTGAAATTAAAACAGCAGATTTTAGAGAAAATAACAAGCTTGAAGTTGACAGACTATCAAACTGCCAGGCGTGTAAAAATGACATCTCTGTATGTCATAGGAATGATTCTCAGCTGATTCCAGAAAGGCAAGATCAGAAAACAAATCAGACCATCTTGGACACAGTAAAAACCCAGGATGTTGCAATCCAGACAGGTCCATCAGATAGCAATTTGGGAAGGACTACACAGAAAGAAATTGTTGTTCCTCAGGATTGTGAATCATCCACATTCAGAGGGCTGGTCCTTCAACACAACACAGATACAAACAACCCCCTTCTTCAAGTGATGCACAGAATACAAGAGGATGAAGATACTTCAACAGAACAAAATCTCGAGAGACATGAAGTTACCCATGAAAAAGTAACTCCCATAAAAGATCAGAGTCACATTTGTATAAACGGCAGTAACTTTGTTTCACCAGAAACAACTGCAAAAACCCCAGATGGCTCTCCTGTAAAAGGTCACCCTGTTTATAGACAGGACATCAAACCTAAACCCAAGCCTGCTAATGAAATTACAAGGGATTACATACCGAAAATTGGAATGACTACTTATAAAATAGTGCCTCCAAAATCCTTAGAAATAATGAAGAGCTGGGAATTGGAAATTCCACCAGATCATAAGGATCAAGAGGTATCTACTTCGGAAAACTCTCTGAAGCATGAAGACCCCAAAGAATTCACAGTGCGAGCTGAAATTCCTAATCTTCCAAAAAGTGTGGGTCATTTACAGGTTGGTTCACAAAATGAACCTGCAGCAGCAAATGATCTGCTGCACGGAGTGAACACTGAACGTGTTGTGATGTCTGGAGCGGAGAACACTGCTGAGAGCAATTGGATGGAAACAGAGTCTTCCAAACAGTGTGTCCCACTGATGCTAAGCTTGGATAATGCAAATGCTTCTTCTGAGACTCAGGACAAGTCAAATGCATTAAGTCCTACAATGAAGCCTAGTTCTTTTTATTTGCAGATGCAACGAAGAGCTTCAAGTCATTATGTGACATCTGCAATCGCCAGAAGTACTGTTTGTGCTCCTAATTCCATTCAAAATGAAGCTAAGAATACAGAGGTAGGAAGAAAAATCTCATCCCCTGATCCAACTTCTGTGTCTCTACATAAAACAAGTACTTCTTCTCCTCCAGCAGATGAAGAAAAAGTTGATGATGGAAAAAAAATTGAATCCTCCACTTCTCCTGTTAAAAGCAATAAACCTTCAAGTTTTCCCTCCTGTCCACCAGCACCGTTGAACCTAAGAACTCTAAGAACTTTTGCTGTTCCAAAGCCATACTCCAGTTCGAGACCATCCCCGTTTGCTCTTGCTGTCTCATCCGCAGTCAAAAGGTCACAGTCATTCAATAAGACACGTACAGTCACTAGCCAGGCACCAAGAGAGGAACTTCCTGTTGAACTCCTCTCTGCCAGTTCAGCAGTTGAATTCTCCTCAGCTACTTCTGTGCCTCAAGTGAAAAACGCTTCCTTACAGCCCACAACAGGAGGGTCACAAAATAGTCTAATGGATAAGGTAAACTTTATCTCTAATATCGACTGCTGATCCTCTGTCATCTAGTGTAACTGGTCTAGAGGCTGGTCTCTGATCTGCTCCCTGATCAGGAAGCACTGTATTCAACAGTGGGAACACCTTGTGGTGTCTAGCAGTAGTACAGCGTCATAATGAAATAGAGGAATACAGGGAATGTTAGAGTGAAAACAACCTCATTCACATTGTTGGATGCTATAATTAGCATCCTGTCCTTTGATGAACAGTAAATTAAATAGAATCATTTATACTGTATATACCTATTTTCATGCTCAGAGTGCTTATGATTTGTTCTTTATGATTCTGTGTGTTTTCTTAAACTTAATTCTGAGTCGTGTGATCAGTTTGGCTTTAAGTGATCATGCCAAAAACACACTTGTATGGGGATATAAAATTTTGCTGGCATAATTATCTGAGGGAGAAACTATGTGCGATAGTGGAAATGTGGCTGATCTTTGAAATCTTGAATGAAGCAAACATGAGAACACTGGCAGTTTGATATGCAACCTTGTGCCAGGTGACTTAGTTTTCCATTTATGACTAATTCAGATTAAAGGTTTTTGTTTTGTTTTTTTCCTCCCGCTTCCTCCCTTTATAGAAAGGCAACAATGTCAATAGTGAGCAGAAGAGTCAGGCACAATCAGGTGCTTCCCCTGACCACCCAGCCCCTGTCACTAAGAGACAAACCGCGATGACGTTCCAGCGCTCTGACCCAGAACAGATCCACCAGAGCTTGCTGGCTGCAATCCGCTCTGGAGAAGCTGCTGCCAAATTGAAAAGGGTGAGTTCTCATCACTGCATCCATAACAATGAATTCATGGTACTTCCTTCAACATTACCATATTAATGCCTGACACTAAAAGCAGTGAGCTTCCGCACAAAGTGCTGCCAGGAGGTCTCTTAATTATGGGAAGGGAGGTGGGGAAGAGAGTTCTGTTCTGCAGAATAAACTCGTGAATGCACATGCAAAGCTTCCTATGTCCGTATTTTCAAACAGTACAAATCCAATTGGAAATCTTCCTGAAATGAATTAGAAATCTTTTTAAGTTATCAATTAAGTATCTCTTTTCATAAAATCTGGAACATGTTCAATTACTTGTTTGTGTTCATGTGGTTTGAAGTTACATGGTTTTAGACACATGCTAAGCAGGCCTCACCCTAGACCTGAAGTAGCTGCAATCTTTTGCAGGCAGATGACACACAGAAGTCCCGAAGACTGTATTTCTCTATTTATTAGACTCTCTCAGGTCCTTAATTCTTCTTAAATGTACTTCAAGCCTCCTGCTGCTGTTTGGTATCATGAGTAAGATACTTCTTAATGTTTTGTCAACAATCCTGGTAGAACCATCTTCCCCCACCCCATCAGATTAAAACTGTGGCTTAATTTTACTTTCCTCTCTCCTAAAATTCACCTATACTTGTCTCATTGGGTAAAACATTGCACATTTTAAAAACCTGTATTGTTTTAAATTTGTAACCATCCAATTTAACAATAGTCTCATGCAAAACTTTCTTGACCCAGTATTCTGTAGAGGAATAATTTCTCATAGCAGGAGGTTAAATAAATTCAGTAGGTTTTGTTTTCCCTTTCCCACTTGAAACTTGAAAGAAACCAATGATGTGTGGGGGGTGTATGTGAGGGGTGTGTTTTGGTTTCATGGAAGTCTTTAATTCCCTAGGGTCAAAATCTCTCAGTGGATGTCAGATGTTCGAACAATCTGTGTGGTACCTAAGGTTTTGTTTCAGTGTAGCACTGAAACAGCCTCTCTGAGGCTTGTAGACTTCCCATCATTTCTACACTGAATAGGAAGATTCAGCTTCCTGGGAAGGTTACAAGCATGTTAAAGTAGTTTTTGACCTCTAGTAGTAAAAGTGGTGCATAATAGTACGATAATACACTATAGTGTTACTTCTAACTACATGCTACTAACCACTAACTACATGTTACTAACTACAGCCACCTTAAAAACAGGATAAGATTAAGAAAATGCTGTATTGTTCAGAGTCACTTAGAGCTCTGTCAAACCTATCTGTTCTACCAAAAATACTGTTTGGATTTTGTTTGGATATTTTTTTATTAAGGGTTTTTTTCCCCCCAATGCATGATTTCATTCTGAATAATACTGCACTTTATTTATTTTGCATAGTGTGTGAACTTTGTTTTATGATTCTTTGGGAAATATGCATAGGCTTTCTTGTTGGCAGAGTAGCTTATAACTTTTAAAAAATAAAGTTCATAATGTGCTTTTCAAAATTCAGGAAGTTCATTTCTACTAGAAAGAAAACAAAGAAAAAATTCACTATGTGGTTATTCATTCTTTTCTAATAGAAATGTTTTTAGGGTAGATCTGTCTATATAGTCTTTATCAGTCTAGGTACAAGAGTGGCATGGGGAAGAAGAGAGGGATGATGATTGAAGTCCTTTTTCCCCTCGCTTTCTCTTCTCTCCCTCTCTCAGCGTAGGACATGTTCTTTATCAGTATAGTATCTGTTGAGGCTAGGGGTGAGGAGAAGGCTATAACTTTTAAGGAGAAATTATAATAATGAAGATGCTGTAAGCATAAAGAAAAGCATTCTGCAACACAGAGACCTGAAACAGGCTTCAAAAAACACCTGAAACACACACACACACACGAAATGCACTGAAGAACACATGGAAATTTTGCCAAACATAAAATTGTACATGCTGTTCTTCTCACTCTTACCCACAGTTCACGTGCTGTGGTACAGGTATGTCTGACAGCAGAAAGAGAGGGTTTTGGCAAATTTGATAAAAACACAGTCTGATTTTATGTTTTATGTGGAGAACTGGCAGTGATAGGACAGAGAAATGAAGTATTTTGTATCAATAACTTCTTAGCATCCAAAAGTGATTTCCAGTATTGAAGGGACTTGAATGCATTCACCTCATCACTTCCACTGTCGTGCCGCACTCAGTAAAAAGAGTAATAACCTGATCCATTTGAATTGTGAAAGAGGTCTGTCAGGTGCTTGCTTCTCTTTTTACCTCTTACCATACTCTCCCTTCTTTCAGGTCTGTGAGAGAATAATTAAAAAAATAAAATGCTGGCACCACTAGCCAAATTCTTCCCGCCCAGTTTTGCTTAGTATGTTGTGAGTATGCAGTGCTGAGATCTGGGGCCTTTTGTATTGCCAGTCTTTTCTGTTCAATAGGGCCCTCAGTAATTACTAACCTAAAATGAGTCAAGTGAGATTTCTTTTTAACCATTTTTCTCTTCAGAATGTTTTCATTGTAAATTGTGTGTTATGGTACGTGGTTTGCATGGCTGTGGAGCATCCACAACTCCCATTAACACCTTTGGAGTTGGTTTATGCAGCTCCCCTGAAAATCAGGTCTTTGCTATCTATCCCAAAAGTTAAAGTTTGCTCCTGATAAAAGAAACATTACCATGGCGTAAAGGAGTGTCAGAAGATTTTGTAAGAAATCAGTTCTGTTCAATATTTAACAAAAAGTGATTTTTTTTCCAAGTATTTCTTTGCAACCAGGTCTGGAGAAGGACTGAAAATTATGTGTGTTTTGAATAGTTATACACAGAATTTTTAGATAGGCTAAAATACGTTTTTAAGTGATTTCTTATATTTCCACTTCTGTAGCATATATGCTTTGTGCAGAAATCGTATAGGACGTCTTTCATTGCAATGAGAAAAACACTAACTGAAGTAACAGTATTTCTGTGTCCTTGAAGTAATGCTGTGTAACATACTACAGAGAGAAGAATCTGAAAAGTTAGGTTAGGTTAATATTTCATTATCTCTTTTTTTTTTTTTTTTTTTTTTCTCTTGCCCCCCTCCAGGTTGGTCCTCCATCGAACACCGTATCTGTCAATGGAAGAGCCAGGCTTACTCATTTGTATTCCACAGAAGCAAAAGCTAATCACTAGATATTATACCAAATATTTTGCACTTTACTACTGCTTCATAGGCCAACTTAATACTAACTACAAATTTTTGGAAGTGTAAATGCAAGTATATGCTAATATATTTTTGTCAGTTGTTATAGGAATTTCAAACTGGGTCCATTGATGCCTTGGAAAGATTGTATGTAAATTATGGTAATATTTTGCCTTTTTCTCTTTATAAAGCTGACTATGCTGCTAAAAAAGGTTTAAGAGAAAGTGCAGATGAGCTTTGCTTAATAATGAGAATCAAAAATTCTTGATTTTAGCCTTCAAGACTGAACAATATGTAGCACTATGCTGAAATTACTGATTTAAAGCAATCTAAGAATTTTAGATCATTTATTTTCAATTGTGTATTACTCTAACAGATTGTATGAATTTAAATCTACCACATGCTGCCTCCATATTACTTTGTTAAATTTGTAATTAGTAGAAAATCTTAAATGTATGCAATACTTTGTTTCTGTTTAAAAAATAGATGGTTTTGTTCCTTCAGCTGAGAGTAATTGGGGTAAGTATTTTGATTTTTTTTTTTTTTTTTTAATGTCCTTTCATTTTCTCCTGGTAGCACACAAAAACATCAGGACATAAATTATTGGAAATTTTTCTACTAGTTACAAACTTTTCTTGACAGGTAGCACTACATTGCATTTCTCATCATCTTTTTGAGAACCTGTATATAGTATTTACCTAGCACTTGGATAAACGATACTAGATACATTTTAAAGTGGTCATCAGCATATAGTCACTTACTGATAAAATGCAAATTCCACTTTTGATACTTAATGAAATAGAAGAAATTTTTTTCACTGGAAGAATGACTAAAAAATGAACTGCTTTGGACTTATTCATGTAAAATATTTGAATCTTAAAACAGCACAATAACATACTTACAAAGCATTCTTGTGTCTGAGAGAGTCTATTTATAGATTAAGCATTAAATACCAAAATGGGAATATATAGTAAAAGAAAATGCTTCATGTCATATTTTATCTATTTTGCATTTTTTGTCAAGGTTACACATTTTGGGGAGAGGAGTGGAAATATGATGACACTGATGATGAAATAGCTAGATTTTGGATGCATGCAGCAAGTGCTGGGATATTTGCCATATTAAAATATTTTCTTGCTGGACTTGATTTAAATAAAAGTAATTGTGTTTAGTTTCTATTCTTTAACAATATATTTATTTTGTACTTCAGAGACATTCTGTAACTTTGTTTCAGAAACTGATCTATATGTGCATTTCAAAGAGTTATTAATGGTTTGCTACAAGGTTTTTGTGCAATAATCTCAAAGAGGGCTCATTACTTCTCTAGTGTGTAGTTATTGATTAGAAACTGCAGTGTTAACTTAATGCTGAAACCCTTCAAGGAACGTTTTAGTAAATAAAAATTCATAAAGAGAGCTGATGAATGTTTGTTCACTGCTGTTCTTTCCTGTTTTCTCTCCTATATCTTAGTCACCTGTCAATGTGTATTACTACTTCCTTCTTCTTGTTCTTGCCTCCAGTCAAGGGCTAATTCCAAGGGCAGGGGAACTTGGTAGTTCGAAATATCTGTTTCAGCATCTGATTGCAAAAGAATGCTTCATCCTTCAGTTGAAAATGGTGAGATAGAAGGAGGGCTTTTCCCAGTTTCTAACTGCGGCTTACATTCTAGATTTCACTGTCTCTTGAGCAACAGACTTAAAATTGTAACTCAGTCCCAGGATTCTAGTGTCTGTGTTCATTGTGATATTTGAAGTCTGTGTTTCAAGCATTACTGTACCACGTGCTGATCTGTAACTGCCACAGAGAGGTTGCACTGCGGAAGGAATCTCCTTGTTTGTACTTTGAGTGGGAGGTGGGGGTTACCTCTTTTCTCTCAAACATTGGTATTCTCTGCCAAGGTGACTAAAGTTATTTCATAAGACTGACTTAATCTTTGTGGCAATGCAAGTCTCTGTGACATGTCACTATTTCAGCTGAATCGGTGGGGTCCAGTTATGGACAAGGGAGCAGAACCGAGCTGGCAGATCTTTAAGGATGCTTTCCGTAGAGCTCAAGAGCTCTTGATGCCCAGGTGTAACAAATCAGGCAAGCAAGGCAAGAGAACCAGCATGGCTGAGTCAAGACCTGCTGGTCAAACTAAAGGGCAAGAAGGAATTGCACAGGCGGTGGAAGGAGGGGCAGGTATCCTGGGAAGAGTAAAGGGATGATGCCCGGTTTTGTAGGGATGGGGTCGGGAAGGCCAAGGTGCGGCTGGAGCTGAACTTGGCAATGGATGCAAAGAAGAATAAGGGCTTCTACAGGTATGTCAGCCAGAAAAGAAAGGCCAAAGAAAGCGTACCCCTGCAATGAGCAAGACGGGTGAGCTGGTAACAATGGACAAGGAGAAGGCTGAGGTACTCAACAACTTTTTGGCCTCAGTCTTCACTGGCAACCTCTCTTCCCATACCTCTCGAGCGCATGGGCCGCAAGACAGGGACTGAGGGAGCAAAATCCCTCCCACCATAAAAGAAGATGAGGTTTGTGACCACGTGACAAACCTGAACATACATAAGTCTCTGGTGCCTGATGACATGCATCCCAGAGTCCTGAGGGAACTGGCTGGTGTAGTTTTCCAAGCCACTGTCTATGATATTTGAAAAGTCATGGCAGTCAGGTGAAGTCCCTGGTGACTGGAAAAAGGGAAACATTGCACCCATTTTTAAAAAGGATAGAAAGGAGGACCTTGGGAACTACTGACCTTGTCAGCCTCACTTCTGTGCCTGGGAAGATCATGGAACAGATTGTCTTAGAAGCTCTGCGAATTCACAGGAGGACAGGGAGGTGATTCAAGGCAGCCAGCATGGTTTCACCAAGGGCAAGTCCTGCCTGACCAACCTAGTGGGCTTCCATGGTGGAGTGACTACCTCAGTGGACAAGGAAAGAGCTACGGATGTCATCTATCTGGACTTGCAAGGCCTTTGACTGGGCCCCCCTGCATCCTTCTCTCTAAATCGGCGAGAGGTGGGTTTGATTGATGGATTATTCAGTGGATGAGGAATTGGTTGGGTGTTTGCATCCAGAGGGTAGTGGTCAAAGGCTCAATGTCCGGATGGGGATAGGTGACAAGTGGTGTCCTCAGGGGTCTGTACTGGAACCAGTGCTGTTTAATATCTTCAG